ACCGGAAAAGACCGGAGGATGCCACAGTTTAAAAGGAGTTTAATAAGATGTAGGCATCCTAAGAAATAGGGAAAGTCGGTATTGTGGAGCTGGCCTCTTCTATCCAATTTTGTGATTTTACAAAAACAAACAACAGGATCTTGCTCAGCTATCAGAAATCATTTCCATCTACGTATTACTTCTTGTTTCTTATCTGGCTCTTGGTGGCAAAACAATACAGCAACATGAGGCTGCGGACATAGGGCGGGACACAGATAGTTTAGATGTCAACGTGAGCAGCAGGCTGGTTTGCATTTTCTACACTAACATCAGTTATTTAGTGCAGGGTACTGAAGCTGGCTTGACTGGCTGATGCTGAATTAAAAAAAAAAACACGCAATTAACATGCTAGGCCAGGGGTCCCCAACAGGGTGCCCATGAGCATCACAGTGCCCGCCAAGTGTTTTCAGAAGATGGGTGGCACCAGGTGGGGTTGTTGCCTAGCACATCTTCTGATGGACCACTATAGACCTGACTGGCAATGCAGATTAAAATAGGTAGGATACACAGAGAACGCATGACTGGCTACAGGTCAAGCATTTCCCTGCTGCTCCCCTGCACTTGGACTTCCTCAGAGTGTACGCGTGGCTCCACCCCTGGTGTCAGCCTTTTTATGGTTCAGTCCACCACCCTGTGTCAGAATTCCGCAGGATTTTATTCCAGAGGTTCCCTCCACCACCCTGTGTCAGAATTCCAGAGGTTCCCAACAGGCTCAAAAATGTTGGGGATCCCTGCTCTAGGCCACAGTAATAGTTACTAATACCAGTATCAGGAGAGAAATAAACCAAGCTCAAATAGTTATCCATGTCCAAATTAACGTTTCCATGTTGAAGAAGAAGAAGAAGAGGAGATTGGATTTATACCTGCCCTTCACTCAGAGTCTCAGAGGGGCTTACAAACTCCTTTCCCTTCCCCTCCCCACAACAGACACCCTGGGAGGTAGGTGGGGCTGAGAGAGAGATCTTTCGAGAACTGCCCTTGAGAGAACAGCTCTGACAGAACTACGGCTTGCCCAAGGTCATCCAGCTGGCTGCACGTGGAGGAGTGGGGAATCAAACCCGGTTCTCCCAGATTAGAGTCCGCGCACTTAACCACCACACCAAACTGGATGTTACTATCTGATAAATTGATGAATGGTAATTATGGAATGAGAAGAGACAACTGCTGTTGTATGTATGATATTTAATAAGATTGTTTAATATTAAGCCTGTGGTACATTGTTTGGATATGAAGATAACGTTGTACATTGTATTTTATGAAGGAGAATTTGATGTTTGGAAGAAATTCATCTTATGAAACGGAAGTTTAACTCCGGAGAATTTCATCCATCTGGAATTGGGATTTCATGAAAAGGTTATTATATGCTTTGATTCTATAAGAATTCTGTAATTTTGTTAAGATTACAAGCGTGTTTTGCATTATTACAGCTTATTTGTTATTCTTTATTGTTGATCCGATCTCCGGTCGCAAAGGAAGCTCTGCTGGGCAAAAGCCACACGTGGCCCCAGCCACTTTCTAAAAACACTTGGTGGACACCAGGAAACGTAGCGGGTGCCTTGGTTGGGGACCCCTGTCGTACTGCTCTTAAGAGAATTCACTATTCGCAATAAAATTCAAACCATGGGGAGAGTACACATGAACAGAAACCCAAACCCAAGTCAGCCACCACAATTTATGTGCCCCAGTCTAGAGAGTCTGCCCTTGTGCCATTTGTTGACTCCCATTGCTAGTTTTCAGGTCATCTGGCACAAACTGTATTTGCTTACGCAGGTGAGTTTGTTTTCCACACTCTTAATGGATATATTTTTTTGGTGGGGGGGGATGCTAACTCCTACAACAACTCGCGAAGAGTTGGACTCGACTGTGTGACTGAACAACAACAACAACAACAACAGTGCAAATCAGGAATGATTTTGAAGCTTGGAAAAAAACCTGGTTTTTTTTTTTTTTTGGGGGGGGGGGGATGGAAATTCCTAGAACAACAGTGCAAATCGGGAATGCCCATTTGTGCAATTTGGCTGCTTTTGACACACATAACAGCAGCTTTGCATTCCTCTTGGATACTTGCAAATCGGGCAACCTCTATCTGTGATTTTAGCTTTGATAGTTCTCGCCTTGTGAAGAACACAGTGACTTTGGGGCTGTTTTATCTTCATTCTTCGATGACCCCAAGAAGCATTTTGGTTTTGACCCTGAACCCTCTCTGCTGAGAATCAAGGCTGGAAGTGTCTAATTGTTATGGAAAGCGGCTGAAGAACTGAGATAAGTTTCCTGGGTAATGACTGTATATACAAAGCGGTGTGGGGGAAATGGCAAAAAGGCAGCAGGGAGAATTTCTGGCGGTGGCTGCGTCTTATGATATGATCACATTCCTATAAATATATATTTGAGACTTAGAGGGGACATGATTAGAGGGGACATGATTGAGGCTTAGAGGAGACATGATTGCAGTCTTCAAGTATCTGAAGGGCTGTCATGTAGAAGATGGAGCGGATCTATTCTCTCTTGCTCCGGATTGCAAGACTAGGTCTAAAGGGTGGAAATTACAAGGGAGTCATTACCAGCTAAATATCAGGAGAAACTTCCTAACTGTAAGAGTGGTTGAGCAGTGGTGCAGACTGCCTTGGGAGGTGGTGGGTGCTCCTTTGCTGGACGTATTCAAGCGGAGTCTGGACAGTCATCTTTCGGGTATGTTGCCGGGCTATCTTTCGGCTACACTCCTGCAGAGTGCGGGGGGTCGGACTAGATGACCTGCAAGGTCCCTTCCAACTCTAACACTCCATGATTCTATGAATCCAATCTTTTAAATGTTGGAATGCGTATTTGATCACGAACGGTCTTCCTTCTTGCTATTCAAATTTAAGGAGGAATAGTCCTGATGATCAAGCCTCCCTTTTAAAAAGATAGATTCCAGTCCAGTAGCACCCTAGAGACCAGCACGTTCTACTGCAGACCGACACAGGTACCCTCTAAAAGAATGTTTAAAAAAGAATAGGCCTGCATCGGGCAACTGCCCCTCCTCAAGAAAGCTACACGCAATGCTAACTGGGGGGGGGGAAATAAGGAGCGTGTAAAGGTGTGGCAAAGACACAAAACCGTACTAACTGAGTGCGCAAATAAAGCCGCTTCAGGCAAATCTATGCATAGCCTTTTTGGCACAGAGTTTATCACTGAAATATAAAATGAGAGTCAGTCATCAGCTGGGCCCTGCTTTCTGACTGAAAGGGAGCAGAGAGCCTGAAGGGTAAAGAATGGCCTTCCGCATCCATGAGATGTCACCATTAAAACGAAGTGTGAGTCCAGTGACACCTTTAAGACCAACAGAGTTCCTGGCCCCAAAGATATCCGGCTGGCCTCGACCAGGGCCAGGGCCTTCTCAGCCTTGGCCCCAGCCTGGTGGAACTCTCTGCCAAATGACATCCGTGCCCTGCCTGCTCTAGTAAAGTTCGGCAGGGCATGTAAGGCGGAGATGTTCCGCCAGGCTGGTGTCGTGGTTAAGTGCGCGGACTCTAATCTGGGAGAACCGGGTTTGATTCCCCACTCCTCCACTTGCACCTGGCTGGATGGCCTTGGGCAAGCCGTAGCTCTGAGAAGAGCTGTCCGTGAAAAAGAGCAGTTCCAGTCAGAGCACTCTCAGCCCCACCTACCTAACCTCACAGTGTGTCTGTTGTGGGGAGGGGAAGGGAAAGGAGTTTGTAAGCCGCTCTGAGACTCTGAATGAACGGCGGGGTATAAACCCAATCTCTTCTTCTTCTTCTTCTTCTTCTTCTGGGTGAGGCTGGTGACGGTTTCCTACGTCTGCCCGGTACCACCACCCCCTCCAAAAAATCTGAATGCTAGACAGGCCATCTGTTATTGGAATGTTTAAAATGTATATTGTTTCTTTAATATTGTATGTTTATGGTTTTAATTGGTTTTATAACTGTATAGCACTATCTTCTTGTAAACCGCCCTGAGCCCTGCATAGGTGGGGAAGGGCGATTAAGAAATCCAATGAAATAAATAAATAAATCTGGGCATAAGCTTTCGTGTGCATGCACACTTCTGAAGACACTTATGCCCAGGATTGTACTTTGTTGGTATTAAAGGTGCCCCTGGACTCAGACTTTGTTCTGTTGCTTCAGACCAACACGGCGACCCACCTGAATCTATTTGAAGAAGTGTTCCTGCACACGAGAGCTTATGCCCAGAATTAAACTTTGTTGGTCTTAAAGGTGCCCCTGGACTCAGACTTTGTTCTGTTGCTTCAGGGACTCACAAAAGCTCCTGCCCTGCCACAAATTTTGTTAGCCTTTAAGCTGCTCCTGGACTCTGGCTCTTTTCTACTGCTAAAGGTAAAGGTAAAGGTTCCCTTGTTCGAAAGCCAGTCAAGCCTGACTCTAGGGTTGTGGTGCTCATCTCCATTTCCAAGCCGAAGAGCCAGCGCTGTCCGAAGACGTTTCCGTGGTCATGTGGCCGGCATGACTAGACGCCAAGATGCACGGAACGCTGTTACCTTCCCACCAAAGTGGTACCTATTTATCTACTTGCAATTTCTTGCTTTCGATCTGCTAGGTTGGCAGGAGCTGGAACTAGAGACGGGAGCTCACTCCGTCATGCGGCACACTCGGGTCTCGAACTGCTGAACTACTGACCTTCCACAGCCTGCAGTTCAGCGTCTTAACCACTTGAGCCACCGCAGCTCCTTTCTACTTTCTACTGCTACAGACAGACTAACACGGCGACCCGTCTTGATCCTAACTTAAAGCAGGGGATTCTTTCCCTCAAAATAGGGCTTCCCTCTTCGCCAACAGGACGAAACCCGGCCCGGAGCCTTCCAAAGTGAAGCCACCTGCTCTTATCCAAGACAAAGAGACTGAGCTTCCTTGCTGACTAGCGCCTTTAATGTGTCCTGATGACCCATTGCCCCAGAGACCAATAATAATTAAAAAAAGATCCATGCCTTCTTTTGGACCCATCACAGATTCGCCTCTCGTCGTCTGACACCCCGGGATAGCTGTACTTGACTGGACAAGAGTGCAAGGCGCTTGGGATTCTCTGTTCCTTATTGTCTGATTGATGCAAAACCTCCAGCGTCCAACAGGAGATGACTGGGGAGCAGACTCGCCTGGAGGAAGAGAGAGAGAAACCATGAGGGATGATCATGCCTCTACCATGTTTGAAGTAACAACAACAACAACAACAAACCCACCAAGATTTGCATAAATATAAATGGAGGAATAGCGCTGCTGCGGCAAGCGGATTGCTCAGATGCATTGATGTCTAGTAATCTAGATCTTAGAATCTAAGTAGACGACACACAGGAAGTTCCCATGCCAGGAGCTCCCGGCATTTCTTTTTTAAAGTCACTTACTTTGTGTTCCGGGGCACAATTTGGATTGAGACGACAGCAGGAGGGGAGGGCGTGTTAAAAAACTCCACCTCCTGCATCATTCCCCCAATCTAAAACAGCCGCAGGGGGATGCTGCGTGCCCCAATTGGGAAAACTTATATGAACAAGTATCAACTAATGTCAGCTTTAGAGATGTAAAATTTCCGGAAATTTTGAAGGAAAAAACAGAAATTTTCGGAAAAAATGAAAAAAATGCTACATTAGCATTTCTTTTGTCTTTTCTAGTTTGAAAGTCATTCTGTTACTTTAGGAACATAAAATATGACTATGGACATTTTTACTTGGCATGAAATTATCGCAACTAGCATATTAAAAATATAGTGTATCCAAACAATTATTACAGAATACCCACCCACATGCAAAAACAAAACTGAAACTTTTTTATTTTCTTCTGACAATCGCACCTCCTAAAGGAATAAATGCATCTTGTTCTTGCATTGGAGAGTTCAGTTTGTAACCTAGGACTTGCTTGTCCTCAGTGCACAGAAATTACATCAATCTGATACCATATATATATATATTTTAGAAATGATTTGGAAAATATTTGGACACCTGGTCTTAAAATATTTTATTCATCATGTTAAAATAAAACGTTCCATAATCAATTTTTTTTCTTTTCTTTTCTTTTTTCAATTTTTCCAATTTTTCGGAAAAAAACCAAAAAGGCTTCAGGAAAAAAACGGGGAAAAAACGTTTTTTTTCCGAATTTTTCTGTTTTTTTTCCGGGCCTTCACATCTCTAGTCAGCTTTCCAAATGGGACGTACACAGCAGCCTCCTGAGGCCGTTTTAAGATTGGGATAATAGTGAAGGAGGCAGGGGTTTCACCCCGTCCCCAAATGGTATGGTCTCAACTCAAACTGAGCCCCCTCTGCACGCCTGGCCAGGGGCTTTTTCAAAAGGGCCGGGAGTGTATTAAGCCTGACCCAGGTTGGCCCTGAGATTCGCAAGCTCTGTTCTCATTTCTCCTTGAGCAGATTGCCCTCCTCCTTCATGTCTTCCTTGCCTTGCTTGCTGAGATGCACGGCTCTTAAAAAACTGCGCTTCCGAGCCATTGCCGCAGCACTGAGGAATCTTTCCTATCTGTCTTGGTTCACTGGCATTGATTGGCTTCCTCTTACACCACTCTACACAGTTTAACATGGGTGGCTATGTTCCCCCCACACACAAATACGCATGATGTTATTTAACAGAGATGGATAAGAATGATGTAAGGTTTTAAAAAAACAGAACAAAATGATTAAAGCTGCTTCCATGGGATACCCCCCCTCCAGAGTTCCCTCTAAGCTGAGTTGGTGTGAGCTAGCTCACAGTTTTTTAGCCTCCGGCTCACAGTTTTTTGTCTTAGCTCAGGAAGGAGGGCTCCAGAGCAAACTAATACAGTAGCCAAATCACTTGCCGACAACTTTAATGCCAGTAGCTCACAAAGTAGATTTTTTGCTTATAAGACTCCACAGCTTAGAGGGAGCATTGCCCCCCTGCACCACCAGTATGTCCCATACAAGCTTAACACAGAAAGATGGAGTACTCTCTGTGTCAAGGTGTAAGGTTTAAAGGTCTTGACATAGAGAGTACTCCATCTTTCTGTTTTATACCTCTGAGGATGCCAGTCATAGCTACTGGCGAAACGTCAGGTCCTACAATGCCAAGACTACGGTTATACAACCTGAAAAATCTACAACAAATTAAAAAATAAATTGTTCTGCTGATGGAACCATCCTGTCTTTGCTTATACCTGCACCCTTTGTTTGCCACATCGTGTGGAATCTGCCCTGTCCTAGACATCTCTGTAACATATCTGTTTTCACTAAAATTGGGGGAAGAGGCATGCAGTAATTAGCACACCAGACCGAGGCAGTCCCTGGCTATCTTGTCCCTGCTTCAACAGTGCAGACTATTGGTTCTTGCACCACCACTTCAGTTGTGTTTCAGCCAGGGCTTTTTTTGTAGAAAAAGCCCAGCAGGAACTCATTAGCATAACAGGCCACACCCAACAGCAGACACTCATTAGCATATTAGGCTGCATGTTACCAGAAGTGTGGTCATCCAGCCACACCCACCTTTTGCTTCTTATTCTGTTTACTTTGTTGTCAAAACCCACAGGGTTTTTTTTGTAGCAGGAACTCCTTTGCATGTTAGGCCACACACCCCTAATGTAGCCAATTCTAATGAGTTTCTGCTGTTGGGTGTGGCCTATTATGCTAATGAGTTCCTGCTGGGTGTGGCCAACTCAGGAGCCAGCCGGAACTCCGTTCCTGTGCGTTCCTGCCCAAAAATAGCCCTGGACTTTCAGCTGGGGCAGGAACATAACATCACCAAAGTACACTGCCCGTGGAAGGAACGCCAGTTCTCCAGGAAGGAACGAGGATTCAAAGACGCATCATAAAACAGAGCTTTAATTCAACTGCAGCAGATTTCCTTTATAGTCCAATGTTTCCTTCCACACCAAAAAGGCTCTCTTAAGCATGTGCATCTGTTTTATTACACAGAGTTAACTGTACTCACTTTACTAAGGGCAATTACTTTATACTACTTTTGAGGTATGCGTGTGTGTCTGGTTATAACCCTCCACCATATGCCATAACAACTCATCTACTGTTTGTAGTAACACCCACTCCTTAAAAGCAGAGAAAATGAACATGTATCCATGTGCCCAGAATGTTAGCAATGCAATAGACTTTGCCACTGTGTAGCCATCAGAAGAAGGTAGGGGCTGGGGTACAGGCAGCTACTTTTAGGTGCATCTATGGGCTTTAGTATATCGAAGGAAATTTTAAATCATTTTCTTCAGAAGAGCAGGATCCTGCACCGTTATCACCACCTCCTTTTGAAGACCCCACTCAGTTTCAAAATTCATTTACTATGTAGCAAGGGAGGTTGCTCTTTCAGAAATGTACCCAAAGACCCTACCAGCTCACAGAACTAATCATGGAGCTATTTGGGTCCTAGCCTAGGTTTTCAAGTGGTGCAGTCCCTCCTCTCCGGGGGTGGGGGTGGGGAACAAAAGGAAATATGTATCACACCTGGCAGAAATTGCAAGCCACCGGAAGATAGAAGCTCAGCTTGAGAAAAATAACACTGGTTCTGTTTTGTTCATCCAGGGTCATATTAGAATCAGAAATATAAAGACTGCTCAATACTAATAATTAACACCTGCTGGAATAAAACTATGCACGCATACTTTGACATCTTTGAGAGGCGGTCCATTATGGCAATACAATGGTCCTGCATTGCACTTTAAGTTCACAGGAGAGGGTATATTCTTACTCCGCTTTCCACTAAGAGAAATTCAATAGGTAAGAGGGGATCCTATCGTTTTTCATCTATCGTGCCCACGTTCCTTACGCAGGCACAATTTGTGGCTTAAACAAACTGGCACCATTCACAACTAATGGCAACATTTACAGCGTAATCCTAAGAACACTTTCCTGGGAGGAAACCCTACTGATTCTGAATAGACTTGAGTAGGATCCTGAGCAGACTCATCTAGGATTGCTCTCTTAACTTTTACACCTAACAAGTTACTCAGAGTAACACCGCTAACTATATGGAATGGAGGCTAGCTTGCTTTTTTTCATCTCCCCCCTCAAGAAACAAAACACATGGAGGCACCGACAGTCACAACGGAGGGATTTATTTCCTCATTTCCTAAAGGCAAAATCCAAAATTCCGTTTTTGCTCAGATCTCAGCTACACAAAACCCACTTGGGCCATACCTATTAAAAGCTTTTATCCTGACCTGAAGGTGGCCCATAAACCACTCAGAATCTTTCAATACAATAACATAAGAACATCAGAAGAACCCTGCTGGACGAGACCAGTGGTCCAGCATTCTGTCTCACACAGTGACCACCAGTGCTTCTGGAGGTCCACCAACAGACCACAGAGGCCGAGGCCTTCCCCTGATAAGAACATCAGAAAGAGCCCTGCTGGATCAGACCAGTGAGGGTCCATCTAGTCCAGCATCCCGTCTCACACAGTGGCCAACCAGTTCCTCTGGAGGTCCACCAACAGGACATAGAGGCCAAGGCCTTCCCCTGCTGTTGCCTCCTGGCACTGGGATTCAGAGGTTTAGTGCCTCTGAATGTGGAGGTTCCCCACAGTCACCTTGGCTGATAGCCATTGATAGGCTTATCCTCCTTGAATCCGTCTAACCCCCTTTTTAAAGCAGTTTATTCCTGTGGCCATCACTACATCCTCTTGCAGCGAATTCCCCATTTTAATCACTCTCTGCGTAAAGAAGTATTCCCTTTTCCTTTCTCCTTTTAATTATCAGAACCAGAGCACTGAGTTAACGATATGCAAAAGCACATATGAAGAATACCCTTCTAAAAGTCAGCTACTAGGTAGCAATTTCAACCACGAAAGCTGGCACAACTGAGGAGAAGGGAGTCTGCACCCTTGTCGAAATGTTCAACACACAGTTCTATCACTTTCACCTTTAAGGCAGGGAGGGTGGGTTGCTTTGTGTCCTTCAAGTGTTAGATGTTTTAAAATAGTTACTTACTGCCCGTTTGAGTAGATGCTGGGTTTATCTGAACTTGTTCAGAAGATCCTGTCTGAATTAAAAACGAACAGATGAATATAAAACGGGAGTTTCCCAACACAAACACACTTTCCCAGAACACTCAGTAGGGCTGAACAAACGGAACTTACTTGGGCACAGGCTGGGTCGGACGAAGTAGCATCCGTGCCAGAAGCTCTCTCTTCGGCAGGAAGGCTACGGATGATGTCTTGGGCCTGGCAAACAATCGCCTTCAGTTCCTCCACAAATTTCTCTTTCTCGCTTTCCAGTACAAAGTTATCTTCAACCTAATGTGTGTGTGGTGAGGGGGGGAATCCAAACAGGGATGAGATAACGACTCAGTTGTCCCAGTAGCAGGCATATATGGAAGCTTCGCTATTGCTACTGAAGTGCTATCCCCTCCCACCTCAAACGTATTTTATCAAATTCTTTAAAAAAGAAAACAACAGCTATGCTTGCAGCGGCTACGTTGGCAGCAAAATTCATTAGACTCACACGAATCAATTAAATATACTCACAAACACGGCCTGTAGAACTACTGTTATTATAAAATGTAATGAAAATACAGTACTTACCATGAAAAAGGTTCTAGAAAGGGAAACGTATTTTCTCAAGTGATGCTAATTCCCTCTCCCCCATGTCAAATGTCATCTTCTCACATGCAGTAATACACGGGCCTTCTACTTAGGGTTGCCCACTCCAGTAGGGTTGCCAAGTCCATCTTCCACCCCCAGCGGGGGACTTTGGGGGCGTTCCTGGAGGGGGCGGGGCATCCCCGACGTGATGACGGCACATTGGGGACGTCCACCGCCCCCCTCCCACCCGTGCGCCGGATCTTCAGAAACGGCAGTTCCCTGAACTTAAAGGAGCCAGCGTTTCCCTTTTAAATGCAGGAGCCGGCATTTCCCTTTTAAGAGCAGCCGCGTTTCCCTTTTAAGAGCACGAAGCTGGCATTTCCCTGCAAGCTTGCGGAGATCGGGCTTGGGAGGAAACACGGGTTCCACATACTTAAAGGGAGAGAGATGGGTGGCTGTGGGTGTTGGGGGCGGGGCTTCCCCCGCTGGCCATCTGGCCGGCGGCGGGTAGACCCCCCAAAAAACAGGGGACCCCTGGCAAACCGGGGGGGTTGGCAACCCTACACTCTGGGTTTTGGGGGGCGCAGGCTGCGGGGGGTGGGGTCTGGGGAGAGGAGGGGCTTCAGTGGGGTGTAACGCCACGGAGTCCACCTTCCAAAGGGGCCATTTCCTCCAGGGGAACGGATCTCTGTCGCCTGGAGATCAGTTGTCATCCCAGGAGATCGCCAGCCACCACCTGGAGGTTGGCAACCCTGCCTCAACCACATTTTACACACTGGAAAGAGTCTTAGCTTTCCAAAAGAGTAACTCCATTGACATCGAGAACATTCCTATACAGCCGAAGCGGCTAAAATCCGTAATATACTGATCATAAAATCATACGACTGTTTTGTACATTCAGTTAAAAACTATTGTGTTCCAGTCCACTCTGACGTGGAGTTCTCAGGGGTCTCCGGCCCAAGAGGGTGATCTGAGCCCTACCCGCTCTGTTTCAGCGTTGCTGCCACATCAGATGTCCCAGAACACTCATACGCTCTTGTTTAAACATTTCTCGCCAAAGCAGCGCAACAGCACATGCATAAGAGATGCTCCTCCTACACTGCAGGTATCTACCCCTATGAAACACTACAGCTCTACCACACTACATCCTCCGTGGAAATTACACGATCAAGCTGCTAGACCTGCATTTAAAGAAGAAATGGGTACACTTCTGAAAGCCTTAGGCTGGAATCATTTCTCCAGCATGCCCCAAAAGTATCTTATAGTTGCATGAGCTTCTGATTGTTAGGGCTAAGATACCCTATTATCCAAGATGAATTGACAGGCACGTAGAAGTCTAGTGGAAGCCTACTTCTGAAAGCCTTAGGCTGGAATCATTTCTCCAGCATGCCCCAAAAGTATCTTATAGTTGCATGAGCTTCTGATTGTTAGGGCTAAGATACCCTATTATCCAAGATGAATTGACAGGCACGTAGAAGTCTAGTGGAAGCCTGACATTTATTCATCTAGAACATTTATTAGTGGCCTTTAGGGTTGCCAAGTTGGTGCAGTCGCCGTAGCGGGGGACTCCCGGGCGGCGACTGGAGTTTTCCCTCCGATGGTCGTGGCCCCGCCCCCAGCGTGCTTGGCGTCCTAACGTCACTTCCTGGTGACACGCACGTCTGGATGGAGTTCCCCCTGGGGCCCGATCCGCCGCGTCAGGGAACGGGCCTCTGGGGCGGGGGTTTCCCCGCCCCCCTGGGGGACTTGGCAGCCCTAGCGGCCTTTCTTCCTTATATGGAGCTCAAGGAAGCTTACAAGATAAATAAAAATATATAAAATGAATTACATAAGAATACATAAGCCAGGGCTCTTTTTGTCGCAGGAACTCCTTTGCATGTTAGGCGACACACCCCTAATGTAGCCAATCCTCCAAGATCTTACAGAGCTCTTCTCACAGGGGCTACTGTAAACTCTTGGAGGACTGGCTCCATTAGGGGTGTGCCGCCTAATATGCAAAGGAGTTCCTGCTACAAAGATGATGCCTGCCTA